TTTTTTTTTTTGATATTTTCAAAATTGAAAAACAAAACAGAAATTGAAAATTCAGAATCCCTCCGACACCTTCGTTCCTCGCAAGGTACCTACCCTACGACGAAGAAAATCCGCCCTCACGTGCCGTACGCACACTAGTAGAACAGTGTAATAATCTTGTCCTAGGATGTGATGCTAATGCCCATTATACTCTGTGGGGGAGCTCGTATATAAATGATAAGGTGAGTGTTTACTTCAATACCTTCTAACTACTAGCCTAAGTGTTTACAATAGTGGTAATAGACCAACGTTCTTCAATAGGATTAGGGAGCAGGTCATTAATATTACTGTGGTAGGGAACACTGATTCAGTTAAAATTCGTGATTGGAGAGTATAATTTAAGTGCTCATTCTCCACAGAATAATTTTTACGATGCAGCTCACGCTGGTTAGGAAAAACAACCTTAGAAAATCGACTGAGTCAAATTCAGTAGTCTGATGGATACCATAACACCTCCAGAAATGAATGGATTACATGATACACAGGATATGGTGGAATCCTAAACTAATGCAGTTAAGGAAAGAATGTAGGAAACTTTTTAATATGGCGAAGAGGGACCAAGCTGTGACTATTATCGTCAAAGCTTCAACACTTTCAAAAGGGAAACCAGACGATCTAAGAAGGAATCTTGGAAGCGTTTCTGTGAATACCACGGAGACATCACGTAAGGTGCTATCCAAAAACCCCGGTACGCCTGGATTCCTGATGAAACCGGATTGTAACTTTAATGAAACAAGTACTGAAACTTTGGAACTACTTTCCGGGTTTCAGGGATGAATAAAATGAAGACTCCACTTCGGAGAACCTCGCAGCTTCTCAAATCCACATAAGTGAATTAGTTAGCTCCATAGTTAATATGTATAAAATTTCGCGGGTGGTGTCATCCTTCAAGCCCTCTAAATCTCCAGGGCCAGGTGGCATATTCCCAGCTCTTCTCCCAAAATCGATTACCACCATCATGCCATGGCTAATTATGATATTTAGGAGCAGCCTGGAAATAGGATACATTACTAAAGTATGGAGAGAGGTTGCAGTGGTAGTTATCCCCAAAGCGGAAATAGTGAACCATAGTACCGACAAAGACTGTAGACCGATCGATCTGACATCGTTTTTATTAAAAACACTGGAAAGATTGGTCGACATCAATGTCAGGATCATCTCTACTGATAATTTCTGTGGGGCACAACATGCATACTTTAAAGGGAGGTCAGTGGAGACTCCCTTGTATCATGTTTTCGGAACTATATAGAGGACAATTGACATGAAATAGTATGGTGTTGATCAGCGGATAAAAAATTAGTCGGAAAATATGCTTAAGAGTAGGGCCATTAACCCATTCGTTCCCACTGTACTCGCTTAGGTACAAAAAAACAACCGGTTTTATAATGCTAGATTATCCATATTACTGAGTTTTTGTAAAATTAGATTTTTGATCAAATGCATCAATAAAGGCTCTTAACTACAACGTTATAGAGTCGAAATATCTTCTTATGTAATTGCATTCAATCATTGACACAACATCACCTCATCCAGGACATGAGGGCATTCGGGGAGCATGAGGACACTTAACTGGTGACCCTGTCAAAATTGATAGATGAGTGAGCTTTGGATGAGACGGAACTCAGGTGGTCAAATATCAACACATGTAGAATATCGAGGCTGCTGTGGCCCACACTGACAAAGGGCCCAAGTGAGTCGATTTTTGGTCCACTGTTAAATAACCTAACTTAAGTAAAATATTTTTGCCAAGTTGCATTACTATTTATGAATAACTTTTTGAAAGATCTTAGGATTTCAAAAATTATACTTGATTTAAATAGTAAATATTAATCTGTTACAAATCTGTATTTAAACATCTTGTCAAATATACGAGAAAACTTGTAGTTTAGATTTGACTTTTTCAACAGAAAAACATTCACAGACAAAATTAAATTTGGAAATTACAAACGGAATGACAAATTTATTATATGTATATAAATTTCCCTTCACGAAACTGAATTATCGGTTTTCGAAAAATTCTAACATTGAATTACATATGCATATTTAAGTGGACGTTGTCATTTATGCGATTATTCACTCAAATTTCATTTCAACTTACCATTTAATTTTTGACAAATCTTTGCATTTTTATTTTCTTCTATGTTTAAAGTAGCAACGGTATATTTAACTTCCGTCGATATTTGTTTCAATGAGTTATGCGAATTATACATTGTGTTACTTTGTTGTGGGAATCAGATGATACTAAAATAAAGTTCGTCTTTAAAAATGTTTTGTGATTTTATTTTAGCTGAACATTATCAACTATATGTTCTGACTTACTCGTGTTTATGATCTTAATGTTACATAAACTTAATCTTAATTACTTTTTAAAATTAAATCAATTCGGAATGTATCTTCCATATTTCTAGCTATTCAGGTACTTGTGTTACTATTGTTTTACAGCAAATAAATAGGGAATAACCTGCAAGTAAAAAATACAGTAAAAAATATTTCATTAGATTGTATTTTAATTGATTACGTTTGCAATATACAATTAAATGACTGTAATTGTAGATAAAATTATAGAAAATTAAAAAAAAAAAAATCACTAGATATTTTATTTGTTAACTTTATAAATATACACACGCATGCACTTCATTCATCATATGAAACACGTAAATCGTTAATTAACAGTGAGTAGTATTAAGGTGGCATTGAATTATAATAAATATTTTTTTACCAATATAAAAAAATAGTTATTCATATTCTCCCTGGAAATTATAGTACACAAAAGATGTCACATCAGCTTTATTAGTCGAGTCCACTTTTAAAACAAGTAAGAGAGCTATATTCGGCTGTGCCGAATCTTATATACCATGAAATCATGTACATAAATTTCAAGTGCAGGTCCTCATTATATTTGACAGAGAGATTTTTTATGGGGGTAGTTTTATTGGGATTTTAGTTGCTATAAAACCAGTTTATGTCAAATTTCGTTGCTATATTGGAATTTTGTAGCAAATTATGAGCGTTAAAATAATTCTCTGAGGGGGACTTTATATAGGGGTTAGGGTCAATTATGGGCCGATCCTTATTAAATTTGACAGAGAGGACCCATAATATATATTCTTTTATAGGTTTTAGACCAATATTTGGATGTGTTTCAAATGGAATGACCCCCATCTTTTTGGATGGACTTGTTCGTTTCGTTTGGACTCTATCGTGGAAAGGAATTACACTGTAAACCAAAAACATAAATTTCTAAATAAAAAACAAACAAAACTAAAATAACTCATATGTACTCAGTTTTTCACGCCACGAAATCATCATAATTTACACCAATTAATCACTCGCACTGAACCCGCTGACAAAGCTCCTACAAATTGTTTGAAGTTAGTCGGCACTATCCCGAAAAGTAGTTAAGTTAATATCGGAATTTCGATAATATATAATTGCTTTCTTTCCCTAAATATTTCGTGGCACGTAAAGCTTAGTACATTTGAGTTTGGTTTGGTCCCATATGAATTAAAACTAAAATTTGTATATCTGGAAATCTATAAATTTCCCATATTATATGGGAAATCCTTACTTCCATATAAAAATTTAAGAAAATGAATGTACGAACCATAAATAATGATCGTGATACTTTTTATACAAAGTTAAAAATGTGTATAATGATAGTGGTTTCTCCCATGAAAAGTAAGTATGAAAGGTAAAGAGAATTTAATTTATATTGCTTTTAGGGCAGCAGAGCACACTGGGTATATAAAATAAATCGCAAAAAAATTTAATTTGCTTTTTTTATTTTATTTTTATACCCTATAACACTTTAATCGGGAGGATATATTGGGTTTGTGCTGATGTTTATAACAATAACAATAATATTGGTCCTATTGTGCGTTACACCTTAAAGCATACCAATCGGCTTAGAATCATTTTCTGATTCGATTTAGCTATGTCCGTCCGTCCATGAAAACTTTGTAATCAAACTACAGGTCGCAATTTTGAAGATAATTCAATGAAATTTGGTACATGATCTTCTATTCCTTCTTCCCAGGGACGAACCCTATTGAAAATGGTTATGATCGCTGTATTATTTCACTTAGCCCCTATACAACTAAACCCCCGAATAGGGCTTGTAAAGCTTGTAATCAAACTACAGGTCGCAATTGTGAAGATAATTCAATGAAATTTGGCACATGGTACCGGAGACGGAGCATATTGGAAATGGTTAACATCGGTCCATTATTTGTCTCATTTGACCATAGCCCCTATACAAAGCCCCCTTCAAAATTTGACTTAAATGTACACAATTTTATTCAACAATAAATGGCTTAAGTATATCGGAGGCATAGTACAATTCAACTTAAATGCTTTATTATGAATACTAAATCACATTTACTTTTGTAACAGGTGTAGTCGGCCTCGCCCGACTATAATTTCTTACTTGTTTATATCATAAATTCACAAATTACAAACATACACTCACTTCTGCTCGTCATTACATGTATGAATTAAGGTAACATTACATGTATGAATTAAGGTAACATACTAAATAGTTAAAAATATTTTAAATATGCTCATAAATATTGTCATATGGTCGGATATGACAGACTAAAGTTTCTTACTTTTTCAAATTATTTTTGCATTTTTCGTAATTATCTCTATTAGAAAATGAATTAAGAATATATTTTTTAAAACTAATTTTCAATAGATCTGAGTAACTCCCTATTTGTAAACGTGACATGTGACAATGACTATGCACTTAAAGTTTTTGACAGGTAGTAGTAGTAGTAATAAAACAGTAGTAGTAGTACGTTATAAAACGTGGCCACAAATACAGTAGCAGCTTTAAAATATAAATTATTCTTACATCTACATATTTTTTGTTAAAATCATAGTTACAGTTTTTCAACTACCAAAATTAATGTATCAATCGACTTTCTCCACGGGTTCCCGTTATCCATTTGACTAAAATTTTACACAAGCATATTTTAGTCATAATAATAAGAACCACCTGACCAAAATCGATATGTTTTGGATACTCTATTATACATAGTTCAAATATAATTTTGTTCTTGCAATGAACGACGCTATAATGTATAAAAAGTTATGCACATTAGGGTGGTCCCAAAATGCAAGTTGCGAATGTTCCCACCGAAAATTAAAATTTAGTTCATTCTAAGATACCATTTCTCAAAATTCTTGTACTGGCGTCAATATTTGGTGAGCTGAATCTAAGGATAAAAAGGTCCCTTTTAAGGTTTTTCTGATTTTTATCATATTTCTTGCAAAGAAACCATATGCAAATTTGGTATCATATAAAGATCTTTGGGAGATGATCGTTGTTTACATTATTTTACAATGTTTTGGTACCGTACATAGGCGTCTATAATATAAACTTCGATCTAAATTGAATTTTGAAAAACGGAAAAAAAACTGTTTCCGTAGATTTTATTGAGGATTATTATGTATTAATTTCAACGAATTATATTAAATTCATCTGTATTAAAATGCAAAAAATCTGAAAGTTTCCGGAAATATTGGAAAATTTCGACTACTTTTGCTGTTACGCAAAAATTTCAGATATGGAATCTGAATCAAGGACCTTTTTAATGATACCAATATTCCATATCTTTCCTTTGAAAGAAATATGAAAAAAATCATAAAAACCTTAAAAAAGGACCTTTTTATTCTTTTATTGACGCCAGGACAAAAGTTTTGAGAAATGGTATCTTAGAATCAATTAAATTTTAATTTTAGTTGGGAACATTGACACCTTATTTTTCCTCCATAAAAACGGGGCAACCCTAATACACATACCTATTAAATAATTGACGAAAAGACGTACCATTATTTTATGTAAATAACTTTTTTTATCTTCCATGATTTTTGTAATGGAAAATATTTTTGAAACAAATAAAAATGGCATTCTAAATATGAGCAGTTACGTGTCAAGTGATCCAACTCAAAAAATCGATTTGGATGAAATTTGCACCAAGGTTAGTACTATTGGATAGTAGCTCAGATACAAATTTTCAGCTATATCGGTCAAGAACAAATCAATTTTCTGAACACCCCAGAAATCTTCAATAATTTTGTCAGACATGCTTTCGAGAAGTTTTCTATTTAAAATCAAAAATCCATCCAAAAATAACGAAAATATAAGCAACAAGTAAGAGTGTTATATTCGGCTGTGCCGAATCTTATATACCCACCATCAAATCGTATGCCGTAAAAGGAATGCTCCTCTGTATATGTACATCAGGGAGATAAGACTTAATTCAATTATGTACGTGATCTTCGAATTAACAAAATATTAATTTTTAAAAACAAAATATTTTTGTCAAATTTTTTAACCATGAACATATATGAAAGCTTGGGTCAATTATGGACTGTTTGTCGTAAAATTTGGTAGGAAAATTTCATATATCACTTATTCGTTTCGAATTCCATTGCTGTTCTTGTATTTTTAATTCATAAGCGCAAGAGTTATTATCTAAAGGGGAACTTATATGGGATAGGGACAATTATGTATCGATACCCATAAAATTTTGTACATGGATTTTGTTTTGTTGGCTATAAGAATAATTTTGATGCATAAAAAAAGTTATTTATGTCGAATTTCATCGCTGCACTCATAGGGGGACCTTATTTGGGGGAAGGGTCAGTTATGGACCGATTCCAATAAAAATTGGTAGAGACATTTTGGCTTATATAAAACTTATTTATGTCGAATTATAGCGATATTTTTAAGCCGGTAATGAGTATTAATGTCATTTTCTGAAGGGGACCTTATATGGGGGTTAGGGTCAATTATGGACCGATCCCCATAGAGATTTTGGCTCATATAATACTTATTTATGTCGAATATCATCGCTATACTCGTATTTTTAAGTCAGTAATGAGTGTTTAAATCATTTTCTGAAGGGGACCTTATATGGGGGGTAGGGTCAATTATAAAACGATTTCTATAAAATTTGGTAGAGAGATTTTGGCTTATATAAAACTTACTTATGTCGAATTTCATCGCTATACTCGTATTTTTAAGCCGGTAATGAGTATTAATGTCAGAGATTTTTGTTGTTGTTTAATTTTTTGTTATTGGTAAAGTAACGGTAGAGATGGAAATTACATATACACACTTCGAAAGAATTATAAGGTGAAAACTTTTTGTTCAAATAACATAAAATATTTTGATCTAAAATTTATTATATACTATTTTATAAATTTTGCGTACAAGTACAAGTTATTTAGATAAAAAATATTCGATGTAATTTTATATTTGCAAATATTACAACAAATAATTCAAAAAAAATCATAGGAAATAATTATAGGGTACGCGTTCACTTTGATCTTATTATGCATAGCAATTTGAGTTTTATTTTTGTTAAGAAACGAAAAACATATAATTTTTAAATAAGTTAGTAATCGACAATTTACAACAATTTTATTTTTTTGTTGTTGGTATTTACTTCCTAT